GTCCACCGTCCACATTCTAGTAGTAGTACGTCATTTAGCCTAAGATAAACTCTAGACACAACATCCGTTGTATTACCGTGACTTCCACAAGTGTCCTCATCAGGCAACTTGCATTCAGGGGTATCCATAACGTATGGATTCTTGCACAGAAACAAGAAACTGGGAAATTTCTTCTTTGGAGTCAGTGCAAAAATTTTAACATGTTTCATACAATCTGTAATTTACAATATCTGATTTCTATTGCAGAAATAGGAGCAAATTTAGTAAGTCACTACAGTTTTTACGGATTTCTAATCGCGGGTATTTAAATATATTCCGTACGGCTGCCTTTACCGGAATTTAAATGCCTGTAGGATAAGCGTTAATAAGCATTTAAGTGAATCAGACTGTGGGAGAAGTTGAGGAAAACTTTAAACTTCAAAATGCAGTACCTTTGAAATTAATTGATATACATAGAAAGGAAAAACTTCCTATTTATCATTTCCTAATTGACGTAGAAGTAAAAGTTGTCCCCGTGTTTGACAAATTAAGCGCTATGCCATGAAGGCATTTGAGTGGATGTAAAGATCCACATTTTCTTGACCTCGGCAGTAGTTGGAGGTGAGTGGACAACTTCATGCACTGGCTGCTTTACCCCCGGGGAAAGAGCCTCCCAGTACCCATTGGATAGGAGGTTGGGTGGACCCCAGAGCCGGTCCAGACAGCATGGAGAAGAGAACATTCTTGATCCTACTGGGACTCAAACCCAAACCCCTTGATCGTCCAGCCCATAGCCAGTTGCTATACCAACTGCGCTATCCCTAACTGCCGCAGGAAGGAAGAACTTTTATCATGTACTCATAAGACTGTAGACTTAACAAAATTTCATTAAAATCCAAGGTGTTCGTGTTAAGATGGTAGCACAAAGTGACTTGACATGGAATGATGTAATGGTACACTCAAAAGTCTATGGAGAATACTGTCTTACAGGATGTACAGTCACATAATTCAGTAGAAGTCCATTGAGATTTTGGAGGACCATACTGCCTCCATCTTCTGGGTTAAATATTAAGCTAAGCAAGACTACTTGCTGCCTGTTTCTTGCTGGTGTCTTGCTTGGACTACCCTTCAGCTCTGAAGATGGAGGCTGTACAGTCCTCCAGAACATCAGTAGACTTCTATCAGGCTGCACAGTGTTATGTCGCAAAAGATACTACCCATTGCAGGCACCCATGTGAAAACCTCAGATCTAACATGCAGTTCTATGTAAAAGGGTTAGACAAAATAATGGAAACACTACAGATACTGTACACATTTCTTTATTAATATGGTGTTGGACCACCTTTTTCCTGCAATACAACCACAATCCTTCTTTGAATGGAATCATACAAGTTTTCAACGATCTCTAGCAGAATGTTATGCTGTAGAGATGTTGGAGGTGGGAATCTGTTCCTCACTCTAGTCTCCAAAACCGACCAGAGTGGTTCAGTGATGTAAAATCTGGTGATTGTGCTGGACAGAGAAGATGTCAGAAGTTTACCTTCATGCTCTTAAAACCATGACTGAACAGTTCCAGCTGTATGAATGGGGCCATTCTCATCTTGAAAAACTGCATTGTTTGGAAATATTATCTGGATCATGGGATGCACATGATTACACAGCCTGTCCATATACTCCCTTGCAATAATTCATCGTGCCTGGACGTTCATGTTAACTTTGTGTGGAGTTCTCTGCTCATGGGGTCATAAGAATACATTCCCTGTTCTAATTTACAAGTAATTTCAGATGTGTTTGGTAATATGTCATTTCATAATTGTATGCTTTGTGTTGAATAAACACATTACTGCCATTTAGTTATATATGCAATGCAGAATTACATCCCTGTAGTGAGTAAATCTGCACTTCTCCAATGAGTTTAATTGCTCTCATTTTGACAATATAAATGGGAGTACAATGAGACAATATAACAGCTATTTGTAGACTTCATGAAATCTTGTAATTCAGTTAGGAAGGAAGTATTGTACAGTATTATTATTGAGTTTGGTATACACATGAAGCTAGTTGGGGTAATTAAAATGTGTTTAAACAAAACCTATAGTAAAGTCTGTATAGGTAAAAAATTGATATTTTTTCTATTCAGAAAGGTCTAAAACAAGGGACTTCATCACCATTGCTTTTCAGCTTTGCATTAGAATATGCCATTAGGAGGGTACAAGGAAACCAGTTAAGATTGAAAATGAATGGGGCACAGTAGCCTCTTGTTTGTGCTAACGACAGTTCCCTGGGGGATAACGTACCTACCATACAGATAAGCACAGAAGCTCTAATAGATGATGTTAAGGCAACCTATATTCTGTTGGACAGTTAAGCTACTATTAAAACACTTGACAATTACCAGATCAACTCAGAACTGGTTTAGGACTTCCATCAGTCTCTTGTGAAACTGGCTGAACATAACAGAGTTTAACTAATATGGGTGCAAGGTTACAAGGGTATTGAAGGTAATGAAACAGCTTATCAACTGGCAAGACTGGGATCTGAATATCCTTTTATAGGGGCTGAACCAGCTTCTGGCATTTCAGCAGGAATTGCCAGGAAGTCTGTCAGAGACTGGACAAAGACCATAGAAAATACAGGGAGTCTTTAACAGGACACAAACAGTAAAAGGGATTCATACAAGGACCCTCTGTCAGAAAAACCAAGAAATTACTGAAACAAAACAGAAACCCATTATGGTGTGTGACAGGACACCTTTTCAAAATGGAATTGACGAATAGTCCCATTTGCAAAAGGTGTCTAGAAAAAGATGAATCAGCCACACACACACATCGTATATGACTGTGGGACTATAGCTTACTTAAGATTTCTTCACTTTGGTCACTACTTTATGGAGCCAGGACACCAAGACGCCCCTATAAGTGAGATACTTTTGAAGTGTAGGATTGTTGAAAGGCCAAAACAGGTGAATGTACAATAGATCACTGATGGTTGCAATGCAAGGGCTGGTCAAGGCCTGCCTTTTATGCATTCATTCATTCAAGGAAGTTGTAAATATACTTTGATGTATTATCTGCACAATTCAGAAGAAAATCATAAAATAAAAGTAGCTAATAGACCCATTGCAGGTGTGGCACAGTTCAG